GGTCTTCCCTTATGGTGTGGGTGACCCCGATGTGGTGATGGGGGGCAACACCGCCAGCCATGAGACGGGCTAGGCGTGCGCAAAAGGCGCGACCGGGCGAGATAACCCTGCATGCAAAATTGAGGTGTCCTAAGAGTGTCTGGACCTGACGCAACGTGGTCTTTTTCTGGGCCATCATGGTAGTTATCAATTCCCTCAACGTGGCGAGTTTGGCCAGGGGCAGGCGAGAGGTTTGGCTGACAGAATCCAGTTCAATAGCCAGATATGAGATGACAGTGGTTGGACCTTCGGTCTTGTCCGCTGCCAACGGGATGCCCAGTTCAGCCGCCAGCTGAATGAAGCATGCCAGCGCCCTAGCGCACGCGTCTGAGCCCACTGGCTGGACCAAAAAGTAGTCATCTAGGTAATGGGGAATGCGGTGGGACCCTGACCTGCGTTTCATGGCCCATTCCACGAATGTGCTGAAGGTTTCAAATGCAGCGCATGCGATGGAACAGCCCATGGGCATAGCTTTGTCAAAGTACCATTGGTCCTGGAATTTGAAAGTCCCTGGGGTGGACTGGTAACAGACGGAAGGCCGATTCGATGTCACATTTTGCCATGAGCGCGCCCGGGCCGCACTCCCTAACCAGCCTGATTGGCTGATCAAGAGATGCATATTTGACTGAGCATTGTTCTTGGGGAATGGCATCATTTACTGACCCACCCTTTGGGTAAGAAAGGTTATGTATTAATCGAAACTCGCCTGGGGCCTTCTTAGGTACGATACCTAGTGGAGACACTATGAGGTTAGGAAATGGAGGTTCTGCGAAGGGACCTGCCACTCGCCCCAGCAAGCGTTCTTTGGAGATCTTCTCGGCAATGTGTGGCATATCTCAGACAGACTTTTGGTTGGGGGGATTGGTGCATGAGGGGGTGCCTACCACTGGGATGCGGAAACCTTCCCTAAAGCCCTCTTCAATGTAATTTGCTGCCTCTTTATTGGGGTACTGGTGTAAAAAAGGCAGCATTGCTGATAGAGATATGGGTGAGGGGGCTAGGGAAAGGAGAGCACTATTTGCGGGCATTGTTTTTGCTTTGCTGTGTGCCAGAGGAGCCTGTAGAGGCTCCGGCCTCTCTTTTGTCTTGAGATGTGCCTGCGCCTGATTCGCGGGAGCCTCAAAAAAGCTTCTTCCTCCGAAAACATTTTGTGGTGGGGTGAGATCCACTACAGCGCTCGCATTCATGAGCAAATCGGCATTTTTCTCTGAAGCAGGAACCGTTGTTATACTCCCAGCAAGATCTCTTGGGGGCCTTGGATTGGTATTTGGACTGTTTCACATTGTCGGACCCTTTCTTGAAGAATGGGGCAACCAACTCAGACCACATGTCATCATCTTTGATATCCCATCTAGCTGTGTCGTCCCCTGCTGCCCGCTCCCTGAATGCCTGGTCATAGGAGAGTGCTGCCGCCTCTCCAGACATGGCTTCAGCCTTTAGGATGATAAGTAGGTAGTTGGTCACGTGCCAACCCCTGTCAGGGTAACTAGCGACTATAATACCCATGTAAGTGGTGTATGCAGTGAGCCAATTACGAAAGGTACGCTCAACACTCACTTTTTTATCTTTTTTTCTCTGCTCGGCGGATTTAGATTTTAGGCATGTCGAAGAGGCAGGGGATAGCAGATCAAACAAATCCACGAACTCCCCATTAAGGATGCGTTCCCACAACTTCTCGCGCAGGCGAATGCCTGGGGGCTGGTCGGTTCTTTTGAAGTTGGATTTCCTAATGCTACCTCTGGAGTCAATGCCCTCCTCCCCACACGGTGCGATAGCACCATGTTCACGCCTGTGCCTCCGGTTGCGGCGCCGCCAGACCCAGTGCGGCAGCCCTGGGGCGTGGGGGCCTGTAACCCAATAGCCTTTGATGCTCCCCCCCGTTCACTATCAGTGGAGCTGTACCTACCTGAGGAACTAGATGATCCAGAAGAGTCCCTCTTGCACTTGTGGCCCCTCCTCCTGGATTTGCAGTGTTTCCTCCCGCGATGACGCGATCTGTGCGACTCAGGGCTCTTGTCACTCTTGTACCTGTCAGAGGAGCTGGAACAGGGGGACCTACCTCTGCGCCTGGTGGATGCGGATGATGAACGTGACCCACCTTCCTGAGCACGGCGGTCAGCGGAGCTGCTACTGCGCCCTTGCCTGCGGCTGTGAGGTGACCCAGAGCTCCCTCTGCACGAATCCCGCCACTCCAGGCGGCGCCTCAGCCGGGCAATGGTCCTGTCCTTACTGTCTCCACGCACCGAGTGTGAGAGACTGCTACTAAGGGAGGAGCGGGTAGAGGAGGAGCTCTCTGTACGTCTCGGCTTGGCAGCCGACCCCCTGCCGGCGCGGCTTGCCAAGGCTAGTGGGCTTATGGACCCAGAAGACCCTATAGGTGCCGCTGCCCTCTTGGGCGCGGTCTTCTTGGGCTTGGGCTGCTCCTCCCTGGTCGCACGCGCCTTTCGCTGTCCAGTCGCCTGTCTCTGGGCAGGCTTGGTGGGCGCACCCCTTACGGTGCCCCTTCTGGTGCGGGGAGGAGAAGCAGCCTGACGCTTTGGTGGCATGGTGTGGGGCTAATAGAGTGGGGTATGCTAGGGAATCCGTAAAAAAGGGGGGGCAATGATTGGTAGGAAATGCCCGCTATTAATTTGAAACACACACTAGTGATAAAGGTAAGGGTACAATTAATGGGAGGGGAGGAGATAAGGCAAGAACTGAAGGCTGCAAAATAAAGCAAGCAATAGTTTAGAAAATCACTGCACAGATTTCAGTTGAGGTCCATGGGCAGTCTCCCCTCGTCGATAATGAGCGCGATGCCTGCTGTCCGCTGCACCTGCTGGCAAGCCATGATGGTGAGATGTAAAACCAATACGTACCGTATTTTTCGCTCTATAACACGCACCCGACCATAACACGCACGTAGTTTTTAGAGGAGGAAAATCCGTAGGCATGCCACCCATAGGCATTCCCTCCATAACACGCACAGACATTTCCCCTTACTTTCTAGGAGGAAAAAAGTGAGTGTTATGGTGCAAGAAATATGGTACCTAATGAGGCCATAGGTGTGCCTGAGGACCACCGAGGCATGACCGCCGCCATGCAGCCAGATCCAGTATGGCCGCCGCCATGCAGCCACCAGCACAATGGCTGCCGCCATGCGGTCACCATTGAAATGGCTGCAGGCATGGAGCCACCACCAAGCAGGCCCTGCACGCCCCCAACAGGGACCAGTCCTACAGCGGCTTGGCAGGGCCCTGTGATGCGGCGCCACCCCCCACCACACAGTTTAAGGGGGGTGGGGCAAGCAGAAGCCCACACTGTCCCCCGGGACCATCTTGGGGGGGACGGGTATGCCCACCGGCTGCAGAGGTCCCCCCCTGCCGCCCAGGGGAGGTTCCAGGGCCGCCGGAGGCCCGATTAGGCCACGGAACGCGGCGGAGACTCCCCGAGGCCCAGCCAGGCCTCCCCAAGGCCTAGCTAGGCCCCCAGAGCCGGGGGAGGCCACGCGGCGCGGCCCACGGCCCCCCCGGCAATCGCGGGGGCGGCGAGAAGGCCCCCACCGCCCAGGGGAGGCTCCAGGGCCGCTGGAGGCCCGATTAGGCCGCGGAACGCGGCGGAGCCCCCCCGAGGCCCAACAAGGCCTCCCAAAACGTGGCGGGCCTCCCTGCGGCCTAAAAAGGCCACTTGGAGGCCGCTGAGGCCCTGGGGGGTGACTGGGGACCCCCCACCCGCCGCACCCCAGGGCCGCCGGGGGAAGGGAAGGGCCGCGTGTGGCATTGCCTCCCCCCGCGGCCCACACGCCCCCGCAGGCATGGGGGAGCAGCCAGAGGGGCCCCTGTGCCACCACCCAACACCCCGGGGCATCAGGGCCCGCCTAGGGAAAAGGATCCCCTTTTAAAAGGGGTATCCTGAAATCCATTACCCCCCGCTATCCTTTGGGAACCCTGTCGCGGGGGGGGTGGGAGGCCAAAGGCCCCAGGCTTACCTTTTGGAGCGAGGAAGTCCAGTGACGTCCTTCCCGAAGAAGCTCTGGAGCCAAGTGAGGATTCCCAGGTAAGATCCTCCCTCTATTGTGTGTGCAGGTAATCTGTGGCCTGGTCTCCTTGGCAACGCTTCCCCCAGGTGGGATTGGACAACTGACTGAGGTAGGCGGAGACCTCCAGGTATCCCACCTGAGGGAAGGCAAAGCCAAGCCTATGCTGATGGGGCCGCTCCAGATCTAGGGCTGCACACGTCCACGCAAAGGGCGCCCCCCGTTTTAAGTGGGGAGCGGTCATTGTGTACACACCCTGAGTGCGTGTGTAAAAACTAGGCTGCTGTTTACTCCTGTGTCTACCACTTCCATGCCATTCCTTGCTTGCTATGGGTCAATTTTTATAAATTACACGCAACAATGACTCTGTCATTAACTTAAATATAGTTAAGAGTTCTTCGTAGTATTTAACTTATATCCCATTTATTTTCTTCCTTCTTTTCATTTCCATCATTTGACCAGTAGGTGTTGCTCTGGATATCTAAGATGAAATTGCAAGGAATGTTTAGTTTCGTAGAGATGCTGTAGGAACTAAGAAACAAGCAGGCTGCCTTCTGCTGTTATTATTATTTGTAAGAAAGCGGGAGAATTTGAAAAATATATATGCATGAATGAGCAGACACCCTAATCCATAGATGGCCTATGTGCATGCAAAAATGTGCTTCTGTGCACATGTTCCTAACTTGCCTGCATTTATGTGTATGCAAATGGATGCTAGGTGCAAGATTCCAGCTGTGGGGTGTGTGTGCATAGAGCTGTTATATCTATGATAGTGTTGGCCAGCTGTTTGGGACCCGGACAGTTGAGACTGGGTTCAGATTCCCCTACTTTGGCTAATGGGTTATCTCTCCCAGCCGTACCTTGAAATCACAGAATCACAGAATTGTAGAGTTGGAAGGGACCATGAGGGTCATCTAGTTGAAGCCCTGCAATGCAGGAATTCTTTTGCCCGACGTGGGATTTGAACCCACAACCCTGGGATGAAGAGTCTAATGCTCTACTGACTGACCTATCCCAGGATTGAATTTAGGACCTTCTGTATGCAAAGCAGATGCTCTACCACTGAGCTAAAATCTTTCCTTTAAAAGTACCCAAGAGCTTTTCAGTGCAATTAACTGGGATTAAAACTTCATGCTTTGCTAGCACAGCTGTTTAAAGGATTGGGCTTTAAGGGGCTTGGTATAAGTACATCTGTGGTTCCCTTGTTGCCGTTGAGCTGATGTAATCAGCAATTGCAGCATTCTGCACTAACTGCAGCTTCTGGATCAAGGGCAAGGGAAGCCCCACATAGAGCGCATTGCAGTGATCCAGTCGTGAAGTAACCAACGTGTTAACTACTGTGGCAAGGCTTTTCCCTTGCACTGGCAGCTGTTGACACAATCTATAATCTGCTATACCACCACAGTTTCTCCTTCTGATGGTGCAGAAGTTTAAAGTGATTCTATTTCTGGCCAGCTAGCTCACTGGAGTCCATTAACTTGCTCCCTTTTAGGATAATTCCCTGTCATGGGACAATCAGAGACCTCATCCCTGCTGTCTTCTGTTCCTGCCTTCCCCATCTTGGTGCCCTCTGGATGTTTTGTAGAACATCTCCTATCAGCCCCAGCCAGCATGGCCAGGGATAATGGGATCAGTAGTCCAATACTTCTGGAGAGCATGAGGTTGGAGAAGGCTGTTCTAGTTCCCATACAGTAGCTCTTGCAGTTCTCATAGAGCAGGTTTTGCTGGAATGACCAAAGATAATAATAATAATAATAATAATAAATTTTATTTATATCCCGCCCTCCCCAGCCAAAGCCAGGCTCAGGGCGGCTAACAACAAACAAAGATCTAGTACAGGCCTTGATTTCATCTGGCTTAGTTTAGCTCAGTTTTATTTGGACAGCGGCCATTGAGTATTACTCACTTCTCAGGCCCCTGAATATGAACTCTTATGTGAGAAGTATATAGTGGTACCTTGGTTCTCAAACTTAATCAGTTCCGGAAGTCCGTTCCAAAACCAAAGTGTTCCAAAACCAAGGCACGCTTTCCCATAGAAAGTAATGCAAAATGGATTAATCCATTCCAGACTTTTAAAAACAACCCCTAAAACAGCAATTTAACATGAATTTTACTATCTAAGAGACCATTGATCAATAAAATAAAAGCAATAATCAATGTACTATACTATAAAATAAATAAGACAGTATTGTAGATGATTAAAAAAAAAATCTTACCTGCACTGATGATAGTCATTGTCTGGATGGGGGGCTTTTATCCATTTCCACAGTCACACAATCAATCAATCAATCAATCAATCAATTAGTAGCTGAACTGGGTTCCACACAGTCACAAAAACAAATTAACCAAAAAAGCCTCAAAAACAAAATAGCAAAATAAAGAGCAAAAACAAAAGTGCCAAACTTAATCCATTCTGGAAGTCCATTTGACTTCTGAAATGTTTGAAAACTGAGGCACAGCTTCTGATTGGTGCAGGCGCCCCGGAAACAATAGCCGACAGCCGCATTGGACATTCAGCTTCTGAAAAACGTTCGAAAACCAGAACTCTTACTTCCAGGTTTTCAGCGTTTGGGAACCAAGGCGTTTGAGAACCAAGGCACCACTGTACATAGATTGTGTAGACAAGAAAGACAAGAGGAAAGAGACATGCCATTCCAAAGCTGTGCTTGCTTTGGCAATTCAGACCTCTTGAATAAAACTATAAGAAATACCAGTCTGATAAAGCATTTTTATTTACAGTACAATTTTATAAAAAATAATTTCAATAATGTTAGTACAAAATCAATTTACAATATAGTACAGCTGTATCCATTCCAAACAAGAAAATTACAATTATCTGAATGCTAGGTTGGTTTCCAGTATAAATAATATCTTGGACACGGCACTAGCTTTATTAAGGTGTACATATCAGTTGCAACAAAAAACAAAACAAAACAACAAACGTTACTTCAATACTCTTATATGGTACATCTGTAAAATTCACATTGCTAATATAAAATCTACAAATGGGGGATATCCAGAAGACAGCATATTAGCTCTGCAGAAAAAGAGCTCCAGCCATTTGTTTGCATATATTTACTTAAGGAAAGTTATTGAGCCAAAATCTGTCCTCGGATTATCATGAATGACACCTATTTGCTATGAGTGAGAACAGCTTCTGCATAAAGGACTGTTATTCCAATATAATTATTGAATAGGTTTGCTTTTGATTATTACTTTTGATTATTACTTTTGATTATGTTTTAACTTTTGCTTGCTGAAACAACATTTCATCCACACCTCACTTTATGGCTGCATGCTTACAGTACTAACTCGTCATGAGATATATTTAAGAGCACATAGTATGGCTGCCATATGGAAGCCATTTTAAATTGTTCCTCGTGGCAGCTGTTTCTGTGCCCCGGAGAATGAGGTTCCTTGTGGTGAGAAGGCCTCCCACTGACTTAGTAACTACTTGTTCTAGCAGCAGATAATGTCTGCTATCTTCTAACCATCTCTCAGTGCTACTCATCCACTTACCCTCCCTCTGGCACAACTTTTTTCCTTCTTGGACTCAGAACAACAGAGGAGAGTGGGAAAATATTAGAGTGATGTAGTTGTAGCTGCTACAGTCACTTGGAGGCTTTTTGCCATGCTGAGCCTTATCCAAGGGTTTCTGTGTGGACTAGGCTGAAGTGGCACCTCATGAATTAAGCATTCCCACCCCCACCCCCATATCACTGCTTGTCTATTGAGTTATAAAGCAACTTCCCTGTGGAAGCTCTTTTGTATGACCAGTTCCTTAAACATTCAGGCTTCCTAGATTTTCTGCATTTGATGTCTTTACATGGACTTTTGAAGGGCATCTGTTCAGGGCCCAAAAACATACTGAGCTCCTCCATGAGGCAGAAGCTCTGTAACCCCCCACCCAACTAAGTTGCCACGAATGTTACAAGCCTCTTCTCCAGCTTGTCTTGTTATCTCTTTGCCGCTGAGGACTCTGTTCCAAATATTAAAGCCAGTTATTTTCCCAGAGAAAGCTAAAGATTCATCGAGACTGCCTCCATCACAGCAGCGATTCTTTTCTTGGCCAATCTTCAAAATCCCACCATCTGGAACGATGTGGCCCTCAGCAATTTCTGTGGAGGCAGCCACCACCTTCCCGTTTACCCACAGTGAAATACTTCCATTAACTGTGCTCCAAATGCCACAAAGGTGAATCCACCGTCCAGAAGAGACGACATGTTGGGCGATGACCTTGTTGTTGTCATTGCTTACAGCAAGAACAGCTGAATCATTGCTCAGATACAACTGAATTTCATGGGGATTTATCTTTGTTCCATAGGAGAATACAATAGTTTTGTCTAGAATTTCCGTCACTTTAACCCATGTGCAGACAGTGAAGGAGTAGAGCACCATTGTGGAAGTTGGGTGAACACTCACATATATCTTTTTGGAGCGCATTGGGAATAAAAGGGCCATCTCACAACCTGCAAAAATAACGGAATGATGTTATCATCAACCAGTTAAGTTACAACCAAAGTAATTATAAGAGTGCCATTCCTTAGGGAACCAAAATGGCGCCATCCATACATCTCCATATCTACGACCTTGAATGACCTGGAATGCAACCCCAATGCAAACTGGGAGTTGCTTGTATGAAGTTCTGTTTATGGTTTGTTTTTTTTAAAAGGACATATATTCCACCACTGAATTTGGGGGATTTCAAAAATGGATTTTCACCAAAATTCCAGTTTGAAAGTTTTAGTTTTCCAAAACTAAGGTTCTTCTGAAAGCCCACAATAGAAGGAAGCAAGATTTTAGGACAGACAGTGGAAGATGGAAAAGATTTATTGCAGTTGTGGATTGTGTTCTTGACATTTTGATCAGTGCATCTTTTTTTAAATGAGTGTCCATAAAACCTTTATAGGATCAGCACATCATTAGATGCTTTGTTTAGGGCACTTTTATTGTATGTTATTTCCTGTTTGGGATTACTTGTATTACACCAAATAAACAGTAGTATTACACAGAAAGAGTGTAATACCTCAAAAACCACGTAGAAATGGCACATTGCAAACATCACCTTGCAATGTTGAAAGTAGTCCTCAAGAACTGCATGTTATTTGATGGGATAGAAGTGACCAAAGAACAAATTCAAAACAAAATGAGGCCTATTCTGGCCCCAACTCTTCAAGCACTGATGGCCAAACTTGGCCCTCCAGCTGTTTTTGGACTACAACTCTCATCATCCCTAGCTAACAGGACCAGTGGCCAGGAATGATGGGAACTGTAGTCCCAAAACAACTGGAGGGCCAAGTTTGGCCATCAGTGTATTATGGGACTGGTGGTGGTCAATCATAGAAGTGCTCTAATAAATACAGAAGTAAAGAGATCACAGGAGTTTTTGGAGGGAACATATTATTGTATAAGCAATGAACTATGTATGAGCAATGAGCTATGTATGAGCAATGAACATTTGTATGTCAAGTTCCTAGAGCTAAAATGCATCTTGAAATCACAGCTGTAATAACCGGGCCAGTCACGTGCTTTTGGCTTTGAGTGTGTTAACAACCTTTTGACCACTGAGAAGTGGGGCATTAGGACATGATTCTGTGGGGACTCTTCTTTAAAGAGAGCAGAGCTGTGTGCAGAGACATGGCTTTTTAATTAGCAGGATTTCTGGCTTTATTATCAAGGGGTAGCCAAAATTAAAACCAGCTTCATAAGACACCAGCAACAGTGTGATCAGAAAAACCCCTTAAGAGTCAACCTGGCAGGAATCCACAATACACAAGAAATCAAAACCAGTTGTTGAAAACTCTTTTAGAAAAGATTTCCAGAGGGATCTGTGGGGTATTTCAAAAATACACTCTTCTTGTTCTTAATCATATTACGACTTTCCTTCCTCCTCCTATCAAAACATATGGAACGAAATTCTGTCTGTAGTCAGTCTGTTGTGAATTAAGAGCAGGTCCTGTGAATTCGGCTGAGTTATTCTGGACTTCACACTGACTTCATCAGTTGGGCAAAAATGCAGA